CATCATTTTATATCTGTCGACCATAATGATAATGTCATTTCATATACATGGGAACAACGACACTCCACGATAAGTCTTTTGTATTTTTTTTCTCCTCTTAATAATATAGAATTGTTGTCTTTCTGTGAGAAACTCAATATCATGCCGACTATTTCATGTTAATGTCACATTAATTTTTCCTACTCTATTCAGGATGATTCAATGTGGTTAGGGTTTCTCTCCACAAAACATCCTCACCAATTCAACTATGTTTTTCATCAAGGCCGGCTTTGAGAGTGGCCAAAGTAGGTGCTCACCTAGGGCTCCTAAATATACACATACACACACACACACACACATGCCCTTTTATGCAAAGGGATACTCATTTTTTGAAAAAAATGGAGATTAGGTGTGGGGTCCACTCCACATCGAACTTCAACGATTCGAATGTATATTTTATAAGTCTCGTTTCATAGATCATCCTTACAAAAATTCAATTCAATCTAAAACCATTTGCCTATTTAATTACCAAGATAAAATTTCATTGTTTTTTATATAACAAAGTATTTGTTAATTTCTTTGAACTCAATTAGATGTCTTAAACATTTCCGATTTGACTAATACTTTGCAAGGATGATCTATGATATGCAACTTGAAAAATAGATAGTTTGGATCGTTAAAGTTTGATTTGGTGTGGACTCCACAATTAATCCCCATTGTTATAAAAAAAAAAAAATGGGATCCCTTCCCTTAAAGGCTTCCTATATATAAAAGAAACCTTTAAGGGAAGGGATCCCCATTTTTCAAAAAAAATGGGGACATCCTCTTGACCATTAAATTTGGCTTTAATGAAATCCTGTGGTTGAGATTATGTGGCCTGTGATTTAATCTCAGCCATAAAATTTCATTAAAGTCAAATCTAATGATCAACAAGGTGTCCCCATTATATATATACACACACAGGCCACAGAATGAAATTATGTGGCTGAGATTAATAATATTATGTGGCTGAGATTAAATCACAAGCCACAAAATCTCAACCACAGGATTTCATTAAAGCTAAATCTAACGGTCAACAGGATGTCCCCATTTTTTTTGAAAAATGGGGATCCCTTCCCTTAAAGGCTTCCTACACACACACACACACACACAATTCAAATTCAATTAAAATATCAAAAAAATAAAATCATAGGAATTGAAAAAAATTGGTTGAAAAATTAGATTATGTAAACTTAATTAGTAAATTTTCGTCTAAAAACACGAGAATTGTACATAATATTTAAGTAATGTTTGTATATCGATCTTTCTTCTTTTGATATTAAATTTTAATGATATTTGATGAAAAAATAGATTTTTCATGTATTTAGCGATTTTTTTTTATGCATATCATTGTACAAAGACAAGGGTCAAAGAACTCTAGGGCTTTGCTCACCTAGAACCCCCAAGTTCTCAGGGCCGGCTTTGTTTCTCATTTGATCTAGCATCAATATTTGTTTTTCATCATTTAATTTGATCTATTCATTTCTAGGGTTTAGTGTGAATATAATGGTTGGGATTTCTCCTCCGTAGCAGAGTTGCTTGTTGACAATATATCTTGACACACACGGACACGGTTACACCAAACCCCACAAAACTCACCAATCACAGTCCGCCAGATCATCCCCATGTGGCTCACGATGGCAATCATCAGCCGCCAAGTAAGCATGGAGATCCATATAATAACCAATTTAGCCAACTACCACATTTGATTAAAGTCTTTCTGCCATGAACGTTGAACAAGTTTCATCATGTCTCAGCTGAGTTCTTTTAATTTATATATATTGAAAGTAGACTATCGATCGACGAATGCTGTAAAGTGCAAAGCTGTCAGTGCCGTGATAGTCGCACTGCCAATTGCCATATCGAGCAATGGTCCACAAATGATCACAATCAAATTATTCAATCGTGATGGTATATATTTCGTTCAAAAGACGCAATAGTATATAAGAAAAAAAACTAGAGGAAGGAACCACCCTTTTGGGGCTAGGAAAATTCACTAAGTCAGTTCAGCCTCCTCTAACAACCATCGTGTGATTTACTAGCTTTAGAAATCAAATCTAGAACGTACAATATGAAATACGAGCCTAAAATGAAGAATTAGAGACCTAGCTAGGGCATATATCTAGTTGCCAAAAAAAAGCTAGGGTATATCTAGAAGGTTGGCATAATTATAAGATGTTGGTGTATCAACTAGCTACTGAAAATAATTATTGATATTCTCTTTTTAGGATTCATTTTTATATTTGTTTAATGCTTATATCCAAGATTATGTCTATTATTATGATTTCATGACTTGTTACGTACTTACTTGAAATCAAGAAAATCGTAAATTTGATGATATATATGTTACTTGAAATGAGAGAAGTCTATGGAACCCAGAAGTTAGTGAAAGAGGGGAAAATATGAATAAGAATGGGATTGGATCAATCACTCCCTTAATCAAGCTACTTCATAATGTTTCAAGTATTAGATTAGTGAGAGCTATATTTAAAAAATAAAAAAAAATAAAAAATAGGTCTAACTACAGTTTACACCCTTTAGCTAGGTTTGGGGTTATTTTCAAATTAGCAGGTCACAAGGTTCTAACTTTTTCACATTAGACACGAAATTTTTAAAACTATATCAATTTATAGTTTTTGTCTAACGAATTATTTGAACCTTCATAAAATTGACGATATGAGCATGAAACCCATAATTGGGTTGATATGTAAGACATATTTGTACCAAATTGACTAAAAAAACTCATTAAATTGATACAATTACAAAATCTTAAAGTACAACATGAGAAAATTGATACAGTTATAAAACCATAAGGTGCAATGTGAGAAAATTGCTCTTACATATCCCTTGAATGCCAACCTTTGATATAAAACCTTATATATTCTAACTTTTTTTTTTACTACTGCAAGAAGCAAGAATTATATTTCCATGAAAAGACTTCATGCCAACCTTTCTCATACAATAGGGGCATTTGGCCATTAGGGTTGAGCCGGCCAGGTTTAAATATTTTAATTAGCATGTAAATGTATACTTACGTACATGATATAATGGTGTACGTGATTACTATGTCTTTTAGCATGTAATATACGTATGGTGTACAATGTTGTTAACTTCCTATCATGTGATGCTTGAGTACGTTCATTTTTAGTTAATATTTAAGTCAAGAATTAATAAAAAAAATTAAAACGTTTGCCAGACAAATTTCAGTTCGTATTTCACACGACAAATCATGAGTTCGATTTCTAACGCACATAATGGTGGTCAGAAAAGGCTGAAATACCTCTGTAAATATTTCCTTTCACGGGTTAATATGGTCACTTCCTTGATCATGTGCACAGAAAGTAAAGGAATTCACTCGTCTATGGATATACAACTCTTTTAATTTTATTGAACAATATATATACCTGCAGCTGAATAGCCAATTGATCTCAGAATACTTACAATTAGGTAGCCGTCTTAAAAGATTATTATGATTGCTTAGTATTTATTTGTTAGGGTACTCTCTGATTTAGGGTTTTTTTTAGGGTACTCTTTGTATTAGGGGCTTTTTTTAGTATACTTATAATTATATCTCAGATCCTTACAATTATGTTAGGGTACTCTTTGTATTAGGGGTTTTTTTTTTAGATTATGATTGCTCAATATTTGTTATTCAAGTTCAAGATAGCTTTGTTTGTTTAAAATTAGGTAGCCGTCTTAAAATATTTAGTCTTTATGTAGCCGTCTTGACAATTTGTAGTCATTCTTTTTTGTTTTAGTCAAAGGAATAATAATTAGAGTTCCTAATTAGTTTTTCATCTTTTTGTCCTTTCATTTGTTAACATGCATGGTATCAAACTGAGTTGGATCCATCTAGTTCAATCTGCTCTTGTTTAGTATCGGTTTGTTTCTCGCTTCTTCGCCTCTTATGTTTTATCCTTGGTTTAGTTTCTCGAGTTCTAAACCGTAGATTTTCGTAAGAGTTTGTCGTAGGTTCATTTTCTACTTGGGTTTCTGTTTCTATTTTTTCCTTGTTCTTGTTTTCATGTGTCAATTTTCATTTTTTTTCTTGGGTTAATTGGTTCAACTTCTTTTTGCTAGTGTTCTTTTACTGAAGAACTTCTTGGTTTCTTGATAGTGTCTTACTGGAGTTCTCAAGCTGTTGTTGTAAAAGATTGGTTGGGCAAACATTAGCCGCGAATGCTTGGTCTAGGATGATTGTCGATCATGACACTAGAGGTGATGCTTGGCTTGGACCTACATTGTCTACTTATGCTTGGTCTAGGATGAATGTTGATATGCGCAATCTTCAATTCACGTCAGCTTGTTTGTTTGTTTATAGCTCACATTAGCAGTCAATTTGTAAGTTTGCATTGTCATTGGTATTGGATGTTTACATTGGTATTGACTTTGAAACTTTACATTGGCTTGGGCATCGACAGAAAACATCATCATCATTGATTTTCTCTTTGGCAAACTTATGATGTGGTATACCACCATAAGTTTGACAAGTGTTGGAAAAGTAGGCAAAAAGCATTAGCCGCGAATGCTTGATCTAGGAGGATTGTCTGTCATGAAACTAACGTGATGCTTGGCTTGGACACACATTGGGTACTTGTTCTTGGTTTAAGAGAAATGTCGATATGTGTCATCTTCAATTCAACATCAGCAATCTATTTGTCAGTTTATATTGTCATTGGTATTGAAGCTTCACATTGTTATTGACATTGAAACTTTGCATTGGCATGGGCATCGACATTGGCAAACATCGTTGTCATTGATTTTCTCCTTGGCAAACTCATGATGTGGTACACCACCTTAAAAAGTTAGAAAGTTGGCAAAAGGCGATATTTTTTTTCTTGAGAAAATGGGCCTTGGACATTCTAAAATGGGCCCATCAAGATGGATAAAATGATTCAGTCTATGCTAGCTGAGATCGCAAAACGAAAGCCCACATTTTTTTCCTAGAATTACTGTTAACACCCTCAATGGAAAGCAAAAAGCCCAAATGATAAAACCTCTGGTCTCAAACGCATGCCCTCTCGACCATAAGCACGCATACCGCTCCGCAGCACAAAGAGAAGCGAAGGACTCGACAGTCTAACTCTCCCCTCTCTCTCTTTGGATTTGCATTCGAATCCAGGAGCACGAACGCGAAGGTAAACCCCCTTCAGATTTGCTCTCCGTTCTTCAATTCACCATCTGTTGATTTTTCTTATGGCTATTCAGCTTTTTTTGTTTTGTTTAGATCTTGCGATTTTAGTACTGACCCTTTTGGTGTTTCGCTCTGATTTTGTAATTGGAGCATGAACATCTGTGTGTTTTAGGTGGGGTTTTAGACCCAGATGAAAATATTTGATTTTTTTGAGCGTTTGAAGTTTACTGCAGATTTAATTTTGTTTGAATCTGGATGGTTAGGGTTTTAGCTCAAAATCCAATTGTCAAATTTCATTTTTGAGGCCGATAGAACTTATGATTAATGCTAATGTCGAAAAAAGGCAATGGGTTTATAGTCCTTGCAAAATGATGAAATTTTTATTTTTGGTGGTGAGATTACTTATTTTTGTTAAGTTATAGTTTGTTTACTTAGTTTTGGGGCTAATTTATGATCATTTTGTAATGTAATTGGTTGTATTGTGAACTCAGGATTGATTTGGGCATCAATGGCATCGAAGTTGCGTCAGTTGCAATCTAAGGCTAGTCAAGCAACACAATTGGTGTCCAAGTATGGAAGTACCTACTACAAGCAGTTGTTAGAGGAGAACAAGCAGTACATTCAACACCCACCAACTGTGGAGAAGTGCAACGAGTTGTCCAAGCAATTGCTTTACACTCGACTTGCTAGGTTATATTTCCAAACCTTTTCTGTTTACGGACTGAATTTAGTTATTACTTGGCTGCGTCTGCTACGAGTTGTAGATTGAAGACCATTAAAGAAGTCTCATATATGTTGACTGAATGCTCTTCTTGATTTAGTTCTGGTAGTACTTTGCTGCATCCTTGTAGACGATATGTTCCATTATCTCACAGCCTTATTTTGAAAGTTTCAGCACATTTTTTACCTCCTAAAAAGCCTGACCGTGGTCACTAAAATGTATGATAGGGTAGATGATTTCTGAGCCACTCTTGCCAGCATTAGGTTCAAAATATATAACTGCATGAAGAAAATGTTTTATTTACATCTTAATACATGTTTGCCTATTAGATTTCTTCCATTTATCTTCTCTAAGTAGCGTTTCTTTTGAGATGAAAGAAAAGCAAGCAGTTTTTTAAAGCTCCAAAGCTTGAATTTGATGTTGATGCAGATGTTTTAATTGAAGGAGAAGTATGTAGATTGGGCCTCCATTTAATTTTCTATTTTTTCCATAATAAATGTGCTCTGTGAAGAAGCTTAGAACAGCGCACTGTCTTCGCTCCTATTCCTTTGTGCTAATAAGTTTTTAGAAGTGTTCAACTGCTTTAGAAACTTGGTGAGGTCTATGTTGCTCGTGTTGCATATAGTCTAGCACCGGGTATTCAGTCATCAATTTGCTTCCAGGACATGGCACTAGAACGTATTACAATAGTCTGAATAATTTGGATACGTGCTTGAATTACAATCTTTTATATTGTGATTTTCAAAGGGCTTGGCTATATTTCTGCAACTGAGAAACCATCATTCAGAATGCATCTAATACCGCATCTTTTTTCTTTCTTTTTCGTTGCAACGACATCTTAGTTGTATTACTATATCTGACTCATTTCCACTCCGTACAGTATTCCTGGTCGTACTGAGTCATTCTGGAAGGAAGTTGATTACGTCAAGCATTTGTGGAAGAACAGGAAGGAGGTGAAGGTTGAGGATGCTGGAATTGCTGCTTTGTTTGGGCTGGAGTGCTTTGCATGGTTTTGTGCAGGTGAGATCGTGGGAAGGGGATTTACTTTCACCGGCTACTACGTCTAAGAGTAACCATATGGTAAAATGTTTCTAGGGATTGCACAGGTAACCCTCTCTCGTCATTTGGGGTTGATCTGAACCGCGGGGACTGTACTAGCTATTTTTTGTTTTCCTAGACGAATTTTTGAAGCTGAGAAATCGGCGGGCTAGTTTGACAGCCATAATAATCAAATGTATTTGAAAGTAACTTGAATGTGATATTGTTCGGTTAATCATGAATGATGATAATACTTCACAATTCTGATTGGATTCACCCTTTCTATCCATCAATGGAGCTTTGTATCCAAATTTCTTGAGGAGTAGCTCACCCTTGTCCAGGCTGGATCAAGAAAACAGGGGCGTCGAGCCCCAATTGTTTGAACGGAAAGTTAGTCGGAAACCGACCAATTTACTTTTGCCTTACATTTTCGGTTCCTAATTTTCACGTTTGGCTATCCTATCCTATGTAGTACCATAGGTTTTAATGGGTTCGATATGAGATTACTGATGAGATTATTGGTGGTCTATTGCTGGTTTAGTTCACCGTTCGATGTAGTTTTTATTACAAAAAATGAAAAGACCATAATGACTATTTGGAAATACTAATAACATTTTAATTTCTTATAATTTATTTTATGAATACATATTCATAAATTATCTCCCAAAACAAAATTGAATACATTCGAGGAAAGTTCTCTTATTAGAAAATTTATTTTTATTCTAAAACAAAAATAGTAATTAAAACGGCAGCGACCAGCGAAGGGTATTTCAGTAAAATCAGACGGCGTCATTCCCGCGAATGCGAGACTGACAAAACTATATACGCGGAAACGCTTCGAGGGCGAAGGCGCCGAGGGCTTCAATTTCTGGTAATATCGTTGAGCGCAAAAGCTAAAACGCGAGAGACAACAATGTCGTCAATGTCGCGAGACGCCGGCCTCCGTCGCATGACAAGGTTCGCCGCCGCATTTTCCGTCGTTATCTTCTCCTTCGCCGTCGTCGCCCACTGCTCCAACAATGATTCCGAGGTAAATATCATCTCTTCCCACAAATTTGGAAGAAAAATTTGAGTCAATTGTTTGTAAAATGGCTTCTGGAACTTTCAGGTGACTTGCAGCCGGATCTGCGTGGCGGAGAACTGTAATTGTAAGCTCAATCACTATACTTACTCTTTAATTTCTCGAAACTCAACTTTGTTTCGTTATTAATTTAAAATTTATATTTGATTTTAATTATTTGTTTTATTTCGTGTTGATGTTTGTAAATTTAGCGGTTGGGATTCGATACGGGAAGTACTGCGGGGTAGGGTGGACCGGCTGCCCGGGAGAGCAGCCCTGCGATGATCTTGATGCTTGCTGCAAGATTCATGACGATTGTGTTGGCAAAAAAGGTAACAATTTTACTTCAATTTTTGTTTTGTTCGAATTTTGGAAGTATAAAGTACCCTTTTTTTTTTATGATTCGAGTGTCGGAGCTTTCACTTTGCTGCAGTTATGTGGTTGTTTCAGACACTTCACTGATTTGATAAGCTTTAGAAACTTGATTTTTGGATGAATTGGAAACAAAATGTCAAATGTGGGTGGCCTTTTGATGGCAAAAAGAATCAATCTTTCGATTATTAGAACGTACTGATGAATTGGGATTATATAGATCAAAAACTTTTTGGTCCAGTCATTCGAAAAATTCCCTGTCCAATTTTCACTAGTTTCGGATCCTTTTTAGAAACTTGTGGTCTTGTTCTGTTGAAAGAGTTCTGGTTTTATTTTGCTGAAGAATACAAAATCATGAACGAAAACCAACTTTTACTTGGTTAAATTCTAGGCCTGCTCCGCTATAAGATAAGGAGAGTGGGAATATATGATATATCCTCGTGAGCTCCTATCCCTCGGGAGAATAACTTACTTACACTGGAGAAGGATATATCCTCTTGATTAATGAGATAGTGAGAGCGGGGATATTTCCCCGTGAGAAGGTACTTTATACTTGAGGGCACTATTGGTGGGTTGACATGTTGGTTGTCTGGTGCAACCAGCAATACCCAATTTATAACTACCAAACCTATAATTAACAAACGGAAGACAACTTGGGCAAATGTAAGTTGAATAGGTTATACAGTAGACACTACAATGCTTGGGCAGTTCATCGTGAACTGTGCACTTACAGTCGTTTGTTCTTACCATTTTGTTGCTGGTCTGTATATGGATGATTGTAGATGAAAGTTCTCTGATTCTAGTAATATGTTGTTTTATAGGTATGACCGACATTAAATGCCATGAGAAGTTCAAGCGCTGCATAAAGAAAGTACATAAATCTGGGAAGGTTGGATTTTCTAAGCAGTGTCCTTATGATACTGCTGTGCCTACTATGGTACAGGGTATGGATTTGGCTATCTTACTGAGCCAGTTTGGTAACTCAAAGCTTGAACTGTGATTTGCCGAAGAAGAGAGACATTCCCCAGGAGTAGAATACCCTACTTACAATTTATCTCCAACACCCGAAAAGTGGGAGTGAAACTCATTTGACAGAAATGAACTAACTATGATCGAGTAAATGGATCCTCGGATCTACATCTACCTGTTTATGTATTGCGTTACTGACTCTAATACCTTCGTTTTTACAAGTGTTTCTTATTCTACAACTCTGTGGTTATTGACATGAATTCAACAATTGGTTACCCCGAAAAATTCTTTTTCTTAGGTTGTTTGTAATGTATAGAAAACGAGTTGGATTCGCTCTGAATTTTTTTTTTTTTATGTGATAATTTTGTGGTTATGTCCAGAACAATGTTATCTTGGTCGGTATTTAGGTTTATCTTGGAAGCGGAACTAAGTGGAAGCTTGGTCTCCAGGCCTCTGAAATGAAGACGAACTCAAGCTCCTTGTTTGCTTACTTTAACTCAGATGATAGTGAGGCTGAGGAAGATCATCCTAGAAAGATTTCCACCAGCAATGCTCATATGACTACCAATATTTCTTGAGGTGTCACGAACTTCTTGTGATTGGCACATGAGAAGAGAGACCGAGACAATGTTGCATTCAACGTGCTGCAGGTAAGTTTTTCCGCACGGACTGAGATTATGACGAATGTAAAATCCCATGAGAAGGTTGGGTTAGTGATGTGCCTACTGTTGTATATATCGTACAGAAGGAAGTTGGTGCCCACCTGAAAGCACACAAGCAACAACTTTTGCTGGGATTATTATTTAAATCGGGCGCATTCTGCAGTTAGATGGCTTGTAATATTGTATGAAATATCTAGCTAGCATTCTAACTTGTCCATCCCACTTGGTGAATTCTTGCTCACAAGTCGGCTCTATTCTTTGAAAAGTCAAAGTGGCGTTTGTCCGTGGATTCTTGGCTGTCCCGGAGATATCTCATTTTTTATATATCTCTTCTCATCACGCAACAAGTGATGGAAAAGAACCGCATGAAGTACCATATATGAAAATATATTCCCGGTTGTATGCTAGTCTCCTGATGCTTGACTTTTATCTCAACTCATATGAGGGACTTGAGTGGAGAAAACTTTCCTACACCATATGCTTCTCTCGCATTTGCTTTATATGTGAGAGACTGTAACAGGTGCGAACAAGTGACAAAACAACAAAAAGCGACTCATATGAGACTATTGACTATTGTGACTGACACCAATGCCATGACAAGTAACAAAATTCGGAATTTGTAAGTTAGGAGTTAGGCTACGTGCAGTTGGTAGGTCAGCTACCTTAAGAAGTTGGGATGAACCTAATCTGCAGGACCAGTTATACTCCAATTTCATCATATAATTAATTAATTAAATAATTAGGAAGCTTCCTTCTTGTGCATATCAAAAAGATTGGTAAAGTTTCAGAATCTTTTAACTATATTTTACAAATTAATGGAAAAGCGAACCATTTGCATTTAAGACTTTGTAACCTAAGGACAAATTCAAGTCAATGTGTCAGGAATATCGTTAGTACATCAAGTGTCATGACACAATTAGTTAATTTTTTTTTAAAAAGTTTTAACAAATTGTATTATAACATTTTATGTACCGGATCGTGTGTCCGATGCACTGAAAAATCTCTCGAAGACAGTAATAGGGAGTGCTTATAATAATTGGAGTGATCTGTCCATCCACATGGATTCCATGATTCCTTTTTAGCGTTAGCATATGTCACATTCTTCCACTTCCAACTTTAGGTGCCTCCTCAAATCAAAACTATATGCATCGTTTACAATATTTGTTTACTTGTAATGCACTCAAGGATTAAAATATTCGTCGATACACGAATATATATTGATTGATGATTGATAATATTTTTTCAAGATAACGATACTTGTGAAGCTGAAAAATCTTTTAAGAGTTAGTTTTATTAACATCCCACATATTATTGAATATACCTCACATCTACTTTTCAATCAAAATTTATCTTACTACACCCCACATATTTTCCTATATTACCCTCACTCACACCCCAAACTTTCTACATACATTCAACATTCTCACCACACCTCCAAATTTCAAAACTCTTACTAAACATGTAAAAGCTAATTATGAGGTCGACTATATGACATTTGATTGTTGTTTTATTTTACTGGTAGAGCAAAAATCCAAAATTTGGATCCTTCTTTGTTACTCCTCTAGAGTCAATCTCACAAAATTTTGACCTAAAAAAGAATGATTGGACATGGGTGATTTTTCTTTTTTTCAAAATTATAATGGGTTCAATTCTTTTTACCGTATAAAACTTAAAAGAAAGTAGTGCCAACTGTCAAGCTTACCACTTAGAGAAAAATTTGTTTAAATTATAATTGATTTTTTTTTTTTTTGAGAAATCGAAAATTTGTTTCGGAGTTGTTATAGGTTTTGATAACAAAAAAAAATGTTGTAGTTCTTACAAAATTCATAATGAAGTTCGTCTGGTTACAAATCCGTAAGATTTTTTTTATTTTTAGGGTTTAGGTTTCTGTCAATTTGGGGGTTTTTGTCAATTACGGGTTTTAGGATTTTAGGGTTCGGGTTTAGACAACCAATTTAGAGTTAAGGTTCATATTAGTAAATAATTTGTGTATTCAATTTCTTTTAAATTTTTTAGGGCTAAATAGTCATTTCATGTTAAATTACATGAGTGATTTAATAATACATATTTATGTAACGTGTATTTAATAATATGTAAAGTGCTAATTAAAAAACCTAAAATCTAATCCTCGTATCTATTAACCAGAAAGATTAGCTGTCACGATATCATAAAAAATATCAGTCAGTATAATATTTACATCACTGATACTTTTATCCATAATTACACTTGTCTCCACATCCTTTTACCTCTACATTGAGCTCAATACAATGTTACCCTCAAAAGAAAGAAAAAGGAATTTACAAAAAGGAAAAAACAAAAAGAAAAGGCAATCGATCAGAACAAAAAAATAAAGACAAATAGAGTTTATTACCAAAAAATAAAAAGATTAAGACAAAGACTTTAATTATTTTATTCACACTGAAAAAAAAAAAAAAAACACAAAAGGGTAAGTTAGTCAAAGCCAAAGACGGCCTCACTGTCCTTATGCTGCACCCCATCACACACAAACTCAATCACATTTTATATTTTCCGTGTGATCAAGGACAAGACTTGAAGAGGTCTTCCACGTAATCCTTCTCATTAATCAATTTGAGTTTGTAAAATTTAAACAAACGGTTAAAATTATTAATTTACTTTAAAAATTATAATAATTTTAACCTGATTAAATTTGAAAGGATTGATGGCGAGATTTAGAGGAAGGTTCCGACCAAGTCATAGCTTTCCCATGGAAAAATTAAACTTCCGCGAAATTTCAATCTCCAATTTTCCACGTCCCTTCCTCTCTAAGAAATCCACGTCTCTTCCTTTTTCCTAATCTCAATTTTGAGATTTCCAATTTGTAATAATATTATCCTCACACGCTTCGCCCGAATCAAAACGCCATCTCGATTTCTTACGCTCCGAGAAAGAATCGTATAAATTTTGCGAGTTCAGAGCTTTCGGTTTTGAAGGTTCTCAAATCTTGAATCCACCATGCTTCACAGGAGCTTCAAGCCTGCCAAATGGTAATTTTTTTTTTCTCTTTTTGTTTTTTGGATGATTTTTAACGACCTATTTGGTTTCCGAGAATCTTTGGAGTCGAGAGAGGAAAATTAGAACATAATTGTGTAACTGTGCGATGATTTTGCGCGGGTTGACTTACTGTAGAGTCTTGAGTCTTTGTCATCGAAAATTGTGTAATTATTGAAATTTTACTGTTGTATTGATTGATTTTGGCGGGTTTCTGGTGCAGCAAAACGGCATTGAAGCTTGCGGTTTCGCGGATAAAGCTATTGAAGAACAAGAAGGATGCACAGGTGAAGCAGATGAGGAGGGAATTGGCCCAGTTGCTTGAGACTGGCCAGGACCGGACTGCGAGAATCCGGGTTTGTCTTTGATCATCATTTCATATCTATTTGCAATTGAAGTTCTGTTTTTTTTGGTTTTTCTTTGCTTCAGATTTTAAATTCAATGTTTTGGTCTTGTATGGTAGAGTATGCTTCTTGATGGATTTGGTCCTATTGGCTTTGACAATAATTGTTCTAATGGCGAATAGATTTCGAGTCTGGAGCGACTAGATTTTGCATTATTCACTAGTTTGTTTAATTTGGAGGACCTGTTCTATGAATATTGCATTTTGGGAAGGTCTTGATATGTTTTGTTTTTCAATTATGTTGGTTGAAATGGTTTTAACGGGCAAGGCAACCCAGTTTTGCCAATTTAAAGTGTGGCGGTGCACTCGTGAAAGGCCAAGAAATGAATTAGAAAACAGAACTTCTTGCCCTGGCTGTTTGTATTTGATGTCTGATTATAGTAGCAGCCTCTACTTTTTGGAGTTTCCTGTGTGGTAATATACATTTTTTTGCTGACTTTTAAGCGAATCCTGTATCTCAGGTTGAACATGTGGTCAGAGAAGAGAAGACAAAGGCAGCATTCGAACTTATCGAGATATATTGCGAGCTTATTGCTGCACGCTTGCCTATGATTGAGTCACAAAAGTATGTAAATCCATTAAATCTTGAATCGTTTTGGCATCTTTTATTCATTCATATGCTCTTATGTTTAAATTTAGCAGTATTTTGTTATGCATCAGTTACATGGTACTTTGTCAGTGCTTCCTTTAACATTGTGTATTTTATGATAGGTTCATAGCTTATTCATATACTACTGTTTTTGCAACTAAGGATTTGTTTTATATTTTTACAGAAATTGCCCCATTGATCTGAAGGAAGCAATTACAAGTGTAGTATTTGCATCTCCAAGATGTGCAGACATACCAGAACTCATGGATGTTCGCAAGCATTTCACAGCTAAATATGGAAAGGAGTTTATCTCTAACGCTGTTGAATTGCGCCCAGATTGTGGCGTAAGTCGCATGGTATGTACCTTGTGCAATCTCCTGGATAATTTTATATGGAAACTAAAACTGGACCAATTGCAGATGGTTGAGACTTTGTCAAAAGTCAACACTCAGTAGATTAATTTTATTGATCATTTTTTAATATATTATCGTGTCAGTTAGTGGAGAAGTTATCTGCCAAATCACCTGATGGCCCTGCGAAGATGAAAATCTTGGCTGCAATAGCAGAGGAACATAACGTCAAATGGGATCCTGAATCACTTGAAGAGAAAGAGTCCAAGCCTCCAGAGGACCTGCTGGTAAGATTTATTCCCCTCTAGCCTGGTTCATTCATTGCTTGATAATTCATAGATAACATAGAACTAGAACTACATTTCATTGTTTAAGACACGTCCGTTTATTGATTTACTTTTTGACATTTTAGCAGAATGGGCCAAATACTTTTGGTAGAATTCCTGCGGAACCTTATCTTGGCCCACCTCCACCTAATCATGATGTCAAGGCAACTTCTAATGCTCAGGTTCCACCTCAAAATTATGGGAATTATGATCCACCCTCGAACTTTAACGAGCAGAATGCAAGATCTTCACCTCACTTTCAGGATTCTCCTTCTTCAAATGTTTCTTCCAACAAAGCAACCAGATCTGGCTCATTTCATTCAGAAGTGAGATCTTCAGGTACATTAATAGTCATTGGAAGATAGTGATTTAATAAGTTTATTATTTACAAGTGGTATTTTTATTTTCTTCTCCGTCTCATTCTTAATTTGACATTCTCACACAGGAAATCAAAATGATGGGATGGAAAATAGGCATTTGTCTCCTGAGGATGGAAGCTCTTCTTCACCGGGTAGGCAGAGCTGGAACATGCATTTTAAGGATGCTGCTTCTGCAGCACAGGCAGCTGCTGAATCAGCAGAAATGGCAAGTATGGCTGCCAGAGCAGCGGCTGAACTTTCAAGAAAACATTCTTCAGAATCACGGGATAAGTTTAGCCAGTCAGCTTCCTTAGCTTCTAGTCGAACTTCCACAAATGCTCCTTCTGCGCGTAGTCACCAAATGCAAGATCGATATCCTCACCAAATGGCAGACCGAGATTCTCAAAATAAGTCATCTGAGTCCGAGAAACGTGATTTCACAGATGAAGTGCGTACAAAGAGACAGTCTAGCAACACTAATGTGCATGCAAGTGAGATGCAAAGTGGAGTGAAACCAGATAATATTTCGCATTTTGGCAATGTGAGATCTGAAGAGAAATCTAATAGGCCGTCCTCCCAGTCTAATTCTATGGGAGAAGTGAGTACGAAGAGACAGTCAAGCAACACTGATGTGACGCATGGGAGTGAGATGCAAACTGGGAACACACCTGATAACGTGTCTTATTTTGGCGGTATGAGATCTGAAGAAAAATCTAGTAGGCCTTCCTCCCGATCTAATTCAAGCTTTGGTAGTGAAGATCAAGAAGATGTTTTAAGAGGGAACTTGGAAGATATGAGGACTGGAGAACAATCTATGAGGTCCTCCTCTCATTCTCATTCAAGAAATTTTAGTAATGACCATGAAAATGTTTCAAATGGCTCTGTTGAGGAGTCTTTTGTTAACGATATTAACATCTTCCAAAGCACAAAGGAAACAAATTCTTATGGAAATGCTGCTTTGGTTTTTGATGACTCCGGTTCGGACGATGATAAATGTAAATTTGAGGTGGAGGACAACAAGGGGCAAGAATCTAATTTGTTTTTTCCTTCACCTGATAGAAATTCATTCTCTCCTTCAGCAGATTTAGATCCTTGGAGCTCTAGACAACAGACGGATGAAGTACAATTTAAGTACAGTTCACAATTAAGTTCTTCATCGGTGAAGCACTTGCCTCCTGTTTTTTCAGAAAATTTGGCAGGTTCCATGGACTCTCCACAACAAACTGATTTGTTGCCTGTTGCTTTCGATGCTTCAGATGGCCCAAGTTCAGACAGTGAAGAGGAGTTGGACAAGCTTGCCCAGAGCACAGCTTCTAAAATTTCTCCTATGCAGAGCCAAAGTGCAAGTCATAGGTCATTAGGATCTTCATCCTCGGAGGAGATAAATGTGGGTTCTAACAGAAAGCCAGGGTTACTGCCTTCTTTTCGTAATTTGGAATCTGCTGAAGTGCCTCCTGAGAGAAGCCAAAGAGTTGAAAATAGAACGGTCCAGGAGGGAAACTATGATTTTGATGAATTGCCGACTGGTCAGCCATCTGTAACGCCTTGGAAATCTGGATTAGATTCAAATGCCAGGGACGATGTTCAAGCATCAAATTTGCGTCAAACTATGAAGGATAGTGAGATTTCAGAGGGATGTAGTTGTGTAGAAGACACCGACAATGAGCTGAGCTTAGGGATGTTGACAGGTGGGCTGCGAAATAAGGGTTTAAGGCATCCGCCGTATACAAAGAAACTATCAGGAAACTCTTTGTCTGTCAAACAAGATACTGGAGATACCAAGGTTGAGCAACCTTCCTTCTTTCCGTCGGTCAGGACTTCTGTTGTCTCTGAAAGAGAGCAAGGGAGCAAAAGACTGATCAAGGAACGGAGCACACGAACCCCCGTCTCATATGTGGCTTCTGATGATGATTCTTCAGAGGATGAATTGTCCCATAGAACTGTTAGAAGTAGCCAAGACTCGATAAAACTGATTCAGGAACGGAGTGCAAGAACCCCTGTCTCATATGTGGCTTCTGATGATGATTCTTCAGAGGATGAAGTGTCACATAGAACTGTTAGAAATAGCCAAGACTCGTTCAATAAAAAATTGGGACCTGAAGTAAAGGCAAGCTCCAAATCAACGTTTTCATTCTTTGATTCAGAGGATAGTGAGCCGGAGGAAGATCTTCTCACAAAGATTTCCACTAGCAATGCTCGTCCGAGTGCTAGACTGTCTAGAAGAACACAGCCGTCTTCAAATTCTGTTAGAAGTTCTAGCTCAAAGACAACAGTTGTGTCTGACGTGTCAGGGACTTCAGACTATGGAAAACCCTCTTCAAAGAGTTCCTATGCCACTGAAATTCAACTAAAGCCCTCGTCCCAGACCAAGAGCTCAGATCAGGAGTGGAATAGACCAGCAGAACAAGCGGCTCCTGGACCAGTACGAGAATCCAAGAGGGTCTCGCCTGTGCAGACTTCAAATTCAAACAGAAACTCCTCTTTGAGGAGTTTTAATTCCAATGAAACTTTACCAAAGCCGTTGTCCCAGACCAAGAGCTCAGAACGCCCAGGAAGTCAAGAGTGGCATAAACCAGTAGAACAAGTTGTTCCTAAGCCAATGCCCGAGTCCAAGAGATCCTCACTTGTGGAGACTTCAAAGTCACATGGAAACCCCTCGTCAAGGGGTTCATATGCCACTGAAAGTCTATCAAAGCCCTTGTCCCAGACCAGAAGCGCAGAGCGCCCCGGAAGTCAGGAGTGGCATAGACCGGCAGAACAAGCAGCTCCTAAACCAATTCGAGAATCCAAGAGGTCTTCACCGGAAGATGTAAACTTCTAAGTCATTTGGAAACTCCTCTTCAAGGACTTCATATGCCACCGAGACTCTACCAAATCCCTCGTCCCAGACCAAGAGTTTAGAGCGCCCAGGAAGACAGGAGCGGCAAACAGCAGGAGAACAAGCAGCGCCTAAACCAGTTCTGGAATCCAGGAGGTCCGCCTCACATGTAGACACTTCAAAGCCATTAGCAAGGGCATCCGAAATTTCTCAAAAGATTGAAACATCTAAGTCCTCAGGTTCTACAGAGAGTTCATCAAAGGAGAAAGCTTCTCATGTCCACCCGAAGCTTCCAGACGCTGATGACATAATCGCCAAGTTTATGGCTCTTAGGAAGAATCGACAGTAAACATGGTTCTTACCACATGCATATATATAGGATATGTGATCACATCAGGTTTTGTTATTCTTTGATATGCTTGAATTTTTTATGATTGTCAAATAAAGCGTTGATAGCTGTATCGTTACTTCGCGTCGAAATTGAGTCTTATATTTTCCAGCCATTGCAAATATGATGAGATTACATTTGTTAAGAGAGTTCTGTAATAAATACGTATAGCTTTTTCCCCGACTTTGTTAATTTTCGTTGTAAATGGCCAAAGAGAGTTGGATCTAATATACTGATGATATGTACGAGTTGAAAGTTGTTTGGGTTGGATCTAATATACTGATGATATCTACGAGTTGTAAGCCGTTTGATTATTTTTCTGACAAACCGTTGTGGAATTCTAAACTACTCTAATTTGGGACGGGAATAGAATTCGGGTGCAAAGAGGCGGGCGCATTTCCCTAGCAGTTCGGTTTCCAATGGCATGTTCATAGGATGACAGTAAAGTGTGTGAGGTCCCAACCGAAGAAGCTAGGTGAGAACTGCATTACCTAACAAAATAAACACAAAGCTTGTGAGCCAAAACCCACGCATAAAAGTTTATAAAAAGGAAAAAAAAAAAAAATGTTACAAGCTCAAAATTGCTTCTTTCTGTAGGAGGATTTTCAGGAGAGCAATGGAGAAAACCCGAAAGCAGGCGATTACGGCCGGTAATCCGACTGTATTGCAGAGCCAGAAGTTACAAGAGGTAACTCCATATGTAGTTTTCTTAATTCGAGATTACTTGTCTACTAATCATAAAATTAACAATTAAACTTGGAGTTTCAATCATGTGGCAGTATATATTGAAAACTAGTGTGTACCCAAGAGAACCAAATGCTCTCAAGGAACTGAGGATTGCTGCTTCAAACCACCCCATGTAAGTCTTCAGATTAATTTCCAACTATTACACCAAAATGTAGGCGCAGTAAAGCTGTAAAATTAAAAAATATTGGCGCAAAACCGAGAGCAATGACGCTCTAGAATTCATACAGCCCACTCCACTTAGTGGGAAGGCTTGGTTGTTGTTGTTGTAGCTGTCTTGTGTGGAACCATTTTGTGCTTCACTCGGATCAATCTAGGATTTAACAGTTTTACTGTGCAGGGCTTTCATGAGCACTTCACCGGATTCCGGTCAGTTCATGGCCCTTCTCTTGAAGCTGGTGAATCCAAAGACGGCAATTGAAATCGGAGTTTTTACCGGCTACTCTCTTCTCCTCACGGCTCTCACAATTCCTGATGATGGCAAGGTTGGTACTTGGTGCATACCTCTCCCCAATTCAGCTGATGTATGTTTACCTACCGCAAACATTATGCCTTGCAGATTACGGCCATAGACATCGACCGAAAAGCATACGAAATGGGGTTGCCAAGTATCAAAAAAGCTGGCGTCGAAAGCAAAATCGACTTCATTGAGTCCCCAGCTATGCCAATTCTTGATAAACTCTTAGAAGACGTAAGCCGAGAAACTCAGTACTCTAAGACTTCGGAAAGTGATAACCGCACACCCATTTTCTCCTTCTGTATAACAAGAGTGTGCAGGCGGAGAAAAGACATGTGCGGAAATCACTTCCTTGAACTTTGTTTTTGACTCTATCTTTTCAGTTTCTTGTACTTGAAGATTGGTACTGCTTCATGCATGTTTTTTCTGCAGCCAGAGAAGGAAGGGAGTTTCGACTTTGCTTTCGTTGACGCGGACAAGAACAACTACTGGAACTACCACGAAAGGCTAATCAAACTGATTAAGGTTGGCGGGATGGTAATGTATGATAACACACTCTGGGGAGGAACAGTTGCTTGGCCGGAAGAGGATGTTCCGGAGGCCAAAAGGGAGTGGTGGCGGTGTGCAATTGAGTTTAACGAATTGGTTTCCGCTGACGCTCGCGTCGAAATTTCCCAGGTTCCGTTGGGCGACGGGATCACAATCTGCAGGCGCGTTTGCTGATCTAGTAGAACAAAATACTTGATAAGCAAGTATTATGCATAACTAGGGTTCCATATTTACAAAATTATATTGTCAAATATTTAGTATTATGTTAATCTGAAGGTCGAGAGAAGTAATAACAATACGTAAAAATATATAAAATAAGGTTGTATTGTTGCTACTTCGGACCAAACTACATGTGAAATAAAAAAAGCAAAGCCTAAAATTTGCTTTGCTTTTGGTGGTGCTTGGTTTATTTTTGATTCGTCTTGTATATTTTATGTTTGTTTCAGTATATTTGTATTGGCCCTTTGTGGTTGTGGGTTGTAGATGTATGTTTTTCTTCTGAAGTTGTATTCACCGTTTTATAATTAGATTTTTAGTGCTTATCATTCACACGATGGTTGTTAAGGAGGTTGAAATACCTCAGTAAGTCTTCTCGACTCCTGAAAATAGTAGATTGTCATGACGAAGCCAATTTTTTATAGTAAAAAAAATCAGTGCAGTTTCACCTTTATAAGAAAAAAAAAAATATATATATATATATACATACATACACACTCAAAGCCATTTGAAATGTTAGCTAAATTGTTTTGGATTGAAACTCAATGTAGAACAAGTGCGTGATCCTTATTTTATGTTTATTGTTTCAAATTTCGTAATTCATCTCTTCGGTTTTCTCATTTTAAAGATAAATTATTTATATGTAGTTGCACGTTATTGCTGCATAATATTTTAATGAAAAATATGCATCAAAGCTTTACACATACGAATATCAATATTACTGATACAAAATTCGTCCTTTAACAAATAATTAATGTCGAGCTAGTAGCGTGTTTATCTCAACTTTCATTTGTCACAGCGTTGCCGAAATGTACATTTCCAAGAGCTCACTGCCAATGACACGGCAGTACAACTTTCCTCAACAGTGGTTGGTGGAATATATGTCAGCAGTGGTTGGTGGGTTGGTCGGGTGCCTCGGGAGAAATCCCCAACTCATCAAAAACATATTTATTTGGAGAGGTGTTGATTCGTTCACCATCGCTGCTGCAAATTCAAAGTCCAAAGACGGAAGACTCGGCCTTCACCTTTGATCATCGGGTAATTCTCTCTTTCTTCACTGGTATTCTCTGTATAAAAAACCCAGAAAACTTGTAGCCTAAGATGTCTAATTGGAATCGTGGGAAGTTTTGAGATTGATTAGTAGCCGAGAAATGGGTATGTGGGTTATTTAGCTTGATCAAAGTTGGTGCGAGTCAACAGCCTTGTAGTTTGGTTGGTTTAGAGCATTTTTCCGATATCCCGGGGTTCAAATCCCTTTCCCACTATTGCTTTTATCAATTTGTGGAATTGGGTTGATGGGTTAGGTTATGTTATGTTGTCTGATTTTGATTTTCTTCATAAAATTATTTTAGAGAAATTTTATAGACTGTTGAGCCTTCATTGTTAATTTAAAAGGATCAAGTGGTGGTAATTTGTTACTCAAAAGTTCAAAACTTTGGGATTTTGGTGCCATTGAAGTTCAGTTTTGCAGTGGTGCCCTCTCTACATTGTACAACATGTCCATCGAGTTTCGATTAATCTGTCCGTAACTGTTAGATTTGTAGAATTGCTTGGACTAGTTGCTTTCTCTTTGCAAATGGAGCACAGTGCCAAAAAGGACTGGAATCTAGAGACGAAGGGACTGCTGCAGAGTGACGAGTTATATCAGGTTACAACGCGTTCCCTCAACTTTCGCTTTGCCTGTTTCTGATTAAATTTGTTAAATGTTGTTTTTCAACAATGTCAACGTGACAGTATATCTTGGAGACTAGTGTGTATCCACACGAACCGGAGCCTCTCAAGGAGCTTAGAGCTGCCACCGCCAGCCACCCGAGGTTATGATCCTTCATATCTTAGCAGAACTTGTTATAAGATTGCCTGCTTTTTAAGTTCATTAAGCTACCAAGCCAAGCTAGAACTTGGCATACACTTCAACTAAGCGAGCGAAAACTGTCGAGCATTTCTTGATCAAACTGTTGAGGAGGGTTTTTAATTAGCTAATTTGTTTTCAGGGCTGGGATGGCTACTGCACCAGATGCAGGTCAGTTAATGGCCATGCTGTTGAAGCTAGTAGATGCAAAGAAAACGATTGAAGTTGGCGTTTTCACTGGATACTCTCTCCTCCTCAGTGCTCTTACAATTCCCGACGATGGCAAGGTCTACTAATATCTGAATCTGCTCTTCCTGTCACGTTGAGCTCATAATTTGTTGTACTGCAGATTGTAGCCATAGATGTGAATCGTGAGACGTATGAGCAAATAGGGCTTCCAATCATAAAGAAAGCCGGTGTTGAGCACAAAATCGACTTCATTGAATCCCAGGCCCTACCGGTTCTTGATAAGCTACTAGAAAATGCAAGTATTTTATGTTTCCAACCATAATCTTGAGCCGAAATAAGAAAAACCATAGTTGTGACATTTTTTTGCTTTCTCGTGGATTTGTTTGCAGCATGAAAACGAAGGAAGTTTCGACTTTGCTTTCATTGATGCCGACAAGGTCAACTACTGGAACTACCATGAGATGTTAATGAAGCTGTTGAAGGTGGGTGGTATAGTTGTCTATGATAACACCCTCTGGGGAGGAACGGTTGTAATGCCTGATGAGTTGATTCCGGAGTTAATGAAACCAGGCAAACAGGCGACAATCGAGCTTAACAAGTTACTTGCAGCCGATCCTCGTGTCCAGATTTCGCATGCTTCTTTGGGTGATGGGATCACAATTTGTCGTCGACTTTACTGATTCTTGCTTGAAAGATGTAGCCTTACATGTCTAAAGCTCGGGGATTTGGCAATCTCCCTTGACTAATGGAGATTTGATATTTATGCTTTCAGAACTCGAAAGAGTTTCAATGAAATAATGTATTGTTGAGTGATCTCTGCTTTGTCCCAGTGTTGTTAATGAACACGATTATTCACTTACATTTTTTCACGGTGAAGAACAAATGGAGAACAAATATATTGATGTACTAAAAAAAAAAAAAAAAATTTCGAGAAGTTTTTAGTCATTAGGGTATATTCGTACTTTTATACCACAAAAGGCTAATCAAACTGATTAAGGTTGGCGGGGTGGTAATGTACGATAACACACTCTGGGGAGGAACAGTTGCTTGGCCGGAAGAGGAGGTTCCGGAGGCCAAAAGGGAGTGGCGGCAGTGTGCAATTGAGTTTAACGAATTGGTTTCCGCTGACGCTCGTGTCGAAATTTCCCATGTTCCGACGGGTGACGGGATCACAATCTGCAGGCGCGCTTGCTGATCAAGTTAAATAGAATACTTGATGAACAAGTCTTCTGCATAACTTGGGTTACATCTTTAATTACTATTTACAAAATTATTGAGAGAAGTCATGATTGAGAATCATCGATGTGAAATAATTGAAAATTATACGTAAATTAAGGTCCTGTACTATTGCTAAATTATACGGAAATTATACGTGCCAAATTATACGTAAATTGGGTTGTACTATTGCTACTTGGGACCAAACCCTATGTGAAATAATTGAAAATTATACGTAAATTAAGGTTGTATTATTGCTACTTGGGACCAAACTATATGTGAAAAAATTGAATAATGAGCAAGCTTTTACTGTTGAGTTTGCTTTGCCTTGATAGTGCTTGGTTTTATTGTGATTCGACTTGTCTGTTTTATGATTGCGTCTGTAGATTTGTATTGGCTCTTTGTGGCTGTGGCTGTAGGAGAACCTTATTCCGTAGACATAACGCTTTTTGAAAGAGATATTTTTTAATGTGTAGGAAACACGGTTAGTATAAATAATGTCATAATATAATTGGTTGATTTTTTTGGTCAAATTTTTAACCAATAGTATTGTTACACTTGATGTATCCGGACCGTATTCCCTGCATACTGAAAAATCTCTTATTTTAAAGTTATTCACCATTTTATAGTTAAGAAAATTAGAGCGGTCTTTAAATTTTGGTCCAATTGGTGCCTTGGTTGTTAGGAATTGGATTTGCTCAGGACCTTAGTGTCCGAAAATTAGGGATTAAATCATCTGGGTTGTTGATTGGTGTGTAAAAGAAATAAGAACCGTTGGTTTTGTGTGGTGGGCCAGAAAAATAAGTTAATAAGGATTGTTGGATTCAATCGGTCCAGATGAATTGATCCCTAGACTTCGTACATTAACATATACAACAGATTAATTGTTGAATTGAAAAATATGTGAATATTGATCATTGGACTTATTATAATGTGAAGATTCTTTTGGCTAACTTCATCGGAACTTCCATTCAAAATAAAAAATTTAAAAAGGGTAGCAAATAGATAAGTTCAGTACTCACTAGAAATTCCCAACTCATCAAAGCATATTTTATTTATAGAGATTTGTTGAGAGGCAGAGAGGTGTCGATTCGGCTCACCATCGCTGCTGAAAATTCAGAGTCCAAAGACGGAAGACTCCGCCTTCACTTTTAATCATCGGGATCGGGTACTTCTCTTTCTTTCTTCACTGGAATTCTCTGTTAAAAAAAAGTTGAGGCTGCAAAGTTTTGTGCTGTATTGTTTTTATGAACAGATTGGCTAGTATTAGAATTGAGGAAGAAATGAAGGGATAAAAACCCAGAAAACTTGTGGCCTAAGAAATCTAATCGGAATCATGGGAAGTTTGAGATTGATGAGTAGCTGACAAATGGGATTGTGGGTTATTTAGCTTGATCAAAGCTGATACGAGTCAATTGACTTGTAGTTCGGTTGGTTAAAAGCATTCTTTTGAGGTCCCGGGTTCAATTCCCTTTCCCGACTATTGCTTTTATCAATGTGTGAAATTTATAGGAGTTGATGAGTTTATATCTTCGTAGAAATTTCTTTTATGTTGGAATTTTAAGATCCTTATAGACTGCCTTCATTGATTATTTAAGGGGAACTTTAATGGAAAATTTTAACGAAAAATCATATTTTTATGCTAAAAAGTCATGGGTTATTCACTTTATTCTTTATTTTGTGCTTATCGTAAAACTCAAAGTTTTCAAGCTCTTTTCATTAGTTTTCTTTTATTTTTAAAATGATCAAAAGGTGGGAATTTGTTACTGAAAAGTTCAAAACTCTGGGATTTTTGGTGCCATTGAAGTTTAGTTTTGCAGTGGTGCTCTCTCTGCCATTGTACAAACATGTCCATCGAGTTTCGATTAATCTGTCCGTAACTGTTGGATTTGTAGGATTGCTTGGACTAGTTGCTTTCGCTTTGCAAATGGAGCACAGCGTTAAAAAGGACGGGAATCCGGTGAAGAAGGGACTGCTGCAGAGTGACGAGTTATATGAGGTTACAACGTGGTTCCCTGAACTTTTTCTTTCCCTGTTTCGGTTTAAAATTGTTAAATCTTGTTTTTTAACAATGTCAATGTGACAGTATATCTTGGAGACCAGTGTATATCCACGTGAACCGGAGCCACTCAAGGAGCTTAGAGCTGCCACCGCCAGCCACCCAAGGTTATGATCCTTCATATCTTAGGAGAACTTGTTGTGAGATTGCCTGCTTTTTAAGTTCATTAAGCTTCCTGTAGCCAAGCTTGAACTTGGCATACACTTTAGTTGAGTGAGTGAAAACAGTCAAGCATTTCTTGATCAAACTCTCGAGGAGGGTTTTTAATTAGCTAGTATGTTTTCAGGGCTGGGATGGCTACTGCACCAGATGCAGGTCAGTTAATGGCCCTGCTGTTGAAGCTCGTAGATGCAAAGAAAACGATTGAAGTTGGTGTTTTCACCGGATACTCTCTCCTCCTTACTGCTCTTACAATTCCCGACGATGGCAAGGTCTGTCACTTCACTACTAATATCTGAATCTGCTCTTCCTGTCACGTTGAGCTCATAATTTGTTGTACTGCAGATTGTAGCCATAGATGTGAATCGTGAGACATATGAGCAAATAGGGCTTCCAATCATAAAGAAAGCCGGTGTTGAGCACAAAATCGACTTCATTGAATCCCAGGCACTACCAGTTCTTGATAAGCTACTAGAAAATGTACGGATTTTACGTTTCAAACCATAATCTTGAGCTGAAATAAGAAAAACCATAGTTATGACCTTTTTCGCTTTCTCGTGGTTTTGTTTGCAGCATGAAAATGAAGGCAGTTTCGACTTTGCTTTCTTTGATGCCGACAAGGTCAACTACCTGGAACTACCATGAGAGGTTAATGAAGCTGTTGAAGGTGGGTGGTTTAGTTGTCTATGATAACACGCTCTGGGGAGGAACGGTTGTAATGCCTGATGAGTTGACTCCAGAGCGCAAGAAACCAGGCAGAGAGGCGACTATCGAGTTTAACAAGTTACTTGCAGCCGATCCTCGTGTCCAGATTTCGCATGCTCCTTTGGGTGATGGGATCACAATTTGTCGTCGTCTTTACTGATTCTTGCTTGAAAGATGTAATCTTACATGTCTAAAGCTCGGGGATTTGGCAATCTCCCTTGACTAATGAAATAATGTATTGTTACAGTGATCTCTACTTTATCTAAGCGTTGTTAATGAAGCATAAACAACTTCATCTTTGCAGTTACGAATGAAATGGCAAACCGAGGTTCGAAGTTAAACATAAGCCCGAGTAAATGGACTTGTCATTCATACAGGAGTTCCAAACACGAAACTGAACAAAATGATCAACATTAACAAGCAAAATTTCCCCAAGTGTTTAGCGTCTCAACCTCCAAGATAAAGGAAATAAAGTAAATCAATTTAATCCAACATACGGGGAAGAAATGCGCTATCAGAATGCTTCCTAACCCTATGTTAGCGGCTTTATCATGTAAAGACCGTATACTATGAATCAATCTTTGCAATCAAAAACTGTGTCAAGTCGTAGTCTGGACAGCGTTCTTCGCAAATGTTTCAGCAACCAGCAGAGGGAAAGCAATCATTGCATCGCAATGCACCTGGTTCAACCAATAAAAAAGGTGGAGAATAATCAGAATGATATTACAACAGAAACGAGGATGACATATTCAAGAATGCAAAGGATACGAAAGAAAACGCTAGAAGGGTTAGGATTAGGTGGATACGAAGTTATGATTAACAATCCGGCCAAAAACAAGAGATAAAACGCAATGAGAAGAGCAAATATATGGGTTAAATTCAGTAATACCTTGACAGTTTTGGCAGAATCCTGTATTTTTCCCCATGATACAGCCTCGTCAGGATGCGCTCCAGAATCACTCCCATCAAACTCTTGCGCAGTATTGATGAAGACACCATAATCCGCACCATTACGAAACATATTGGCATTGGAAATGTGATGTTTGGGCATGCCCCCTCCGAGAATGATCATTCCAGTCTTCCTTGGGCATGGACAGCTTCATCATTCATGGCCCTAATATCTGTTCAAGGGCATGCTATTATGTGATTTGACTTTCCAAGTTGATTATCAGCTGCAGTGACAGTGTAACGAGCAACATACCACCGCAAATAGTATTAACTAACAGTGCCATCCGTTAAACCTGGACAATAAACTGGGATATTGTTCTGGAAAAGAACCGCAAATAGTATTAACTAACAGTGCCATTTAAGTCCTGAAACTGACCACCGAGGCAACACATATCCATTTCTAATCACTCTACTCCTCAAAATCCAATTTCACAAGACGATTTGTCCATGCATGCTTATTGCTTATCCAACCAAATTTAAACTCTAAACCAGTAATTCGTGAGGCAAACATACTATAGAATCTTAATAGCTAAAGATAAACTATGATTTTGTTGAATTGCCGACTGGTCAGCCATCTGTAACGCTAAGGAAATCTGGATTAGATTCAAATGCCAGGGACGATGTTCAAGCATCAAATTCGCATCAAACCATGAAAGATAGTGAGATTTCAGAGGGATGTAGTTGTGTAGAAGACACTGACAATGAGCTGAGCTTAGGGATGTTGACAGGTGGGCTGCAAAATAAGGGTTTAAGGCATCCACCGTATACAAAGAAACTATCAGGAAACTCTTTGTCTGTCAGACAAGATACTGGAGATACCAAGGTTGAGCAACCTTCCTTCTTTCCGTCAGTCAGGACTTCTGTTGTCTCTGAAAGGGAGCAAGGGAGCAAAAGACTGATGAAGGAACAGAGCACACGAACCCCCGTCTCACATGTGGCTTTTGATGATGATTCTTCAGAGGATGAAGTGTCACATAGAACTGTTACAAATAGCCAAGACTCGTTCAATAAAAATTGGGACCGGAAGTAAAGGCAAGCTCCAAGTCAACATTTTCATTCTTTGATTCAGAGGATAGTGAGCCGGAGGAAGATCTCACAAAGATTTCCACTAGAAATGCTCGTCCAATTGCTAGACTGTCTAGAAGAACACAGCCGTCTTCAAATTCTGTTAGAAGTTCTAGTTCAAAGACAACAGTTGTGTCTGACGTGACGTGTCAGGGACTTCAGACTATGGAAAACCCTCTTCAAAGAGTTCCTATGCCACTGAAATTCAACTAAAGCCCTCGTCCCAGACCAAGAGATCAGATCAGGAGTGGAATAGACCAGCAGAACAAGCGGCTCCTGGACCAGTACGAGAATCCAAGAGGGTCTCGCCTGTGGAGACTTCAAATTCGAACAGAAACTCCTCTTTGAGGAGTTCTAATTCCAATGAAACTTTACCAAAGCCGTTGTCCCAGACCAAGAGCTCAGAACGCCCAGGAAGTCAAGAGTGGCATAAACCAGTAGAACAAGTTGTTCCTAAACCAATGCCAGAGTCCAAGAGATCCTCACTTCTGGAGACTTCAAAGTCACATGGAAACCCCTCGTCAAGGAGTTCATATGCCACTGAAAGTCTACCAAAGCCCTTGTCCCAGACCAGAAGCTCAGAGCGCCCAGGAAGTCAGGAGTGGCATAGACCGGCAGAACAAGCAGCTCCTAAACCAATTCGAGAATCCAAGAGGTCTTCACAGGAAGATGTAAAGACTTCTAAGTCATTTGGAAACTCCTCTTCAAGGACTTCATATGCCACGGAGACTCTATCAAATCCCTCGTCCCAGACCAAGAGTTTAGAGGGCCCAGGAAGACAGGAGCGGCAAACAGCAGTAGAACAAGCCTAAACCAGTTCTGGAATCCAGGAGGTCCTCCTCGCATGTAGAGACTTCAAAGCCATTTGCAAGGGAGCAATCATCCGAAATTTCTCAAAAGAATGAAAAATCTAAGTCCTCAGGTTCTACAGAGAGTTCATCAAAGGAGAAAGCTCCTCATGTCCACCCGAAGCTTCCAGACGCTGATGACATAATCGCCAAGTTTAGGGCTCTTCGGAAGAATCGACAGTAAACATACTTCTTACCACATACATACATATATAGGATATGTGATCACATCAGGTTTTGTTATTCTTTGATATGCTTGAATTTTTTATGATTGTCAAATAAAGCCTTGATAGCTGTATCGTTTCTTCGCATCAAAATTGAGTCTTACATTTTCCAGCCAATGCAAATATGTTGAGATTACATTTGTTAAGAGAGTTCTGTAATAAATACGTATAGCTTTTTCCCCGACTTTGTTAATTTTCGCTGTAAATGGCCAACGAGAGTTGGATCTAATATACTGATGATATCTACGAGTTGAAAGTTGTTTGAGTTGGATCTCGTATACTGATGATATCTATGAGTTGTAAGCTGTTTGATTATTTTTCTGACAAACCATTATGGAATTCTAAACTACTCTAATTTGGGCGGGAATACAATTCAGATGCAAAGAGGCGGGCGCATTTCCCTAGCAGTTCGGTTTCCAATGGCATGTTCCTAGGATGACAGTAAAGTGTGTGAGGTCCCAACCGAAGAAGCTGGGTGAGAACTGCTTTACCTAACAAAGTAAACACAAAGCTTGTGAGCCAAAACCCACGCACAAAAGTTTATCAAAGGGAAAAACAAAAAATGTTACAAGCTCAAAATTGCTTCTTTCTGTAGGAGGATTTTTCAGGGAGAAAACCCGAAAGCAGGCGATTATGGCCGTTAATCCGACTGTATTGCAGAGCCAGAAGTTACAAGAGGTAACTCCATATGTAGTTTTCTTAATTCGAAATTACTTGTCTACTAATCATAAAATTAACAATTAAACTTAAAGAGTTTAAATCATGTGGCAGTATATATTGAAAACTAGTGTGTACCCTAGAGAACCAAATGCTCTCAAGGAACTGAGGATTGCTGCTTCAAACCACCCCATGTAAGTCTTCAGATTAGTTTCCAACTATTACACCAAAATGTAGGCGCAGTAAAGCTGTGAAATTAAAAAATATTGGCCCAAAACCGAGAGCAATGATGCTCTAGAATTCATACAGCCCACCCCACTTAGTAGGAAAGGCTTGGTTGTTGTTGTTGTAGCTGTCTTGTGTGGAACCATTTTATGCTTCACTCGGATCAATCTAGGATTTAACAGTTTTACTGTGCAGGGCTTTCATGAGCACTTCACCGGATTCCGGTCAGTTCATGGCCCTTCTCTTGAAGCTGGTGAATCCAAAGACGGCAATTGAAATCGGAGTTTTTACCGGCTACTCTCTTCTCCTCACGGCTCTCACAATTCCTGATGATGGCAGGGTTGGTACTTGGTGCATACCTCTCCCCAATTCAGCTGGATATATGTTTACCTACCGCAAACATTATGCCTTGCAGATTACGGCCATAGACATCGACCGAAAAGCATACGAAATGGGGTTGCCAAGTATCAAAAAAGCTGGCGTCGAAAACAAAATCGACTTCATTGAGTCCCCAGCTATGACTATAATTCTATATGAAATCTAAATTTTAGTTATTTTTCCAAATCTTCCTGTCCAGATTATGCAGGAAACTCCCTCACAAAATGCAATGATGAAATTCTAATGCTTTTTCTATTTGATAGACTATATGCAGTGAATGGAATTGCAAAATCGAACTAATAAACCTGATGAGTGTTTTTATATTTATAAGGGTACACTGCCATTTGACCTCTTGAACTATTACTCCAGTTATATTGACCCCTTAATTATTATGTGTTTATATGTCATAATTTATGGTGGTTATAGATGGTAATTAAGAAATGAACTTAAATGGACTCCTTATTTGTAGCCGTTAGATCAAATTTCAATGGCTCGAATCATGAACTTAATAGGTTAGGTTGAAGGGGATCCGGCGTTCCCTTGAATCTGGCCCGTAATCAAATTCCTAATAAAAAATTAAATAAATGATATATTGGTAACATTATATTGGGCTAATTTGTAATAATTCAATGGGCTCTTTATTGGGCTATGTATTTAATCCAACACACTTTAATAAATTTCCATTCATCAAAGAAATTTAAATATCAAATTTTATATCAAATTTTCAACAATAACAAAGTAAATAATGATAAGGCAAGTGACTCTTTATCATAATAGTGAAAATGAGTTGAGCTCTTATATGATAGTGTGGGTTCGAACTCTATTGGTAGCTAATCGAACAAAATTTATCGTTAACAATAATAAAAACAGTAAATAATGATAAGGAAATGTTAAAACACAGCTTGTGAGCCAAAACCCACGTACAAAAGTTGACAAAAAGGTAAAACAAAAATGTTACAAGATCAAAATTACTTCTTTCTGCAGGAGGAATTTTCAGAAGGAGAGCTATGAAAAAATTAAACCCGAAAGCAGGCGATTACGCCCGGTAATCCGACTGTATTGCAGAGCAAGAAGTTAAAAGAGGTAACTCCATATGTATTTTTCTTAATTCGAAATTACTTGTCCATTAATTCATAAAATTAACAATTAAACTTGAAGTTTAAAATAATTTTACAGTATATATTGAAAACTAGTGTGTACCCAAGAGAGCCAAATCCTCTCAAGGAACTGAGGGATTGCTACTTCAAACCACCCCGTGTCAGTCTTGACATTAATTTCCAACTATTACACCAAAATGCAGGTGCAATAAAACTGCAGGAGAGTTTTTATCCAAAATGGTCTCTCTGATTGAACTGTCAATCATTTTGGGCATTTCGTGAAAAATCTCCGTTAAATTAAAGGTATTTTTGTCAAATCAAATATTTCACTTGAGTTGGTGGTTTCTTTAATTTAACGGAGATTTTAAATCTCAAGGATCAAATGAAAAGTTATGCTAACCCCAGAAACTATTTTAGTTAGAAAGCCAACTTGTTAGCATGTCTCGTGGTAGTTTCTTCAATAAATGTTAGCACGTCTTCTGTGGAACCTTCTTACGCTTCACCCATATCAATATAGGGTTTAACAGTTTTACCGTGCTGGGCTTTCATGAGCACTTCACCTGATTCAGGTCAGTTCATGGCCCTTCTCTTGAAGCTGGTGAATCCGAAAAAGGCAACTGAAATCGTGAGAGAAGCACATTAA